GTATGTTGTAGTTGCACATCCTTCCAGTTGCTGTATGTGGGACGCGGCCTCAGCATGGCCGGAGAAGCGGTGCGTTGGTGCGCACCCGGGATGCGAACCTGGGCCGCCAGCAGCGGAGCACGTGCACTTAACCGCTAAGCCACGGTCCGGCCCAAAATCTGCAAATCTTAAACTTTCTGGGCTCCTTTGAAAATCTGGCAGAAGTGTCCCACACACCTGAGCTTTGGCGCATGCGTTTAGTCCTTTTGAAGCCCTTGTGTTGATGCCCGGCAGCAGCTCACCCTGCTATTGTGGGGCCTGTAGGCACCTGCCCTGAGTGGCTGTCCTCTGTAGGTGCTGAAGGTTGCCATCTTGGCGGAGAAGTACGCTGTGGACTACACGTGGTACGTGGACACCATCCTGAACCTGATCCGGATTGCTGGCGACTACGTGAGCGAAGAGGTGTGGTACCGCGTCATTCAGATTGTCATCAACCGGGATGACGTGCAGGGCTATGCTGCCAAGACGGTGTTTGAGGTATGGTCCGCATGCCTCCCTTCTTTCTCCTGTCAGCCATTCTTGGAGGTTCGAGCTCTTGTATTGCTAACACCTCTGCTTGAGTCTTAGTTCCTTCTCACCCCGATTTCCACATCACTCGCCACGGGTGAGATACTCTCAGCTCTCAAGGGGCCACCTGAGCAAACTGCCCAGGGCCGCGCCTTGAGTTCGCCTCTGTATGCACGAGAGTACTTGTGGGCTCTGCCGTGGTGGGATTCTCCATCTCCATCAGCGGGGGTGGGGGGCTTGTGAGCACCTGCCTCCGCCTGGGGCCCCAGTGTCAGCTCTCGGGTGCGCAGCTCCCATTCCAGGGCTGCACTGGCCACGTCTCTGCCTGTGAGGCTCCCCTGCTACTGACATCTGCTGAAGTAGCCTCCAGGGAAGAAAGGGGTGGGAACTAAAATCAGGAGGGTCTCTAGGAAGCTTTGGGGAAGCTTGCACTAGCATAAAAATAGACTCCACAGGAAAGTGACCTGAATTCTCTTTACTTCTGGCATATCACCACGACTTAGCTACTTTTCTTGAAGTCGGATGCCTCCCAACTTCCTCTGCCTGGGCCTTGAGCTCTTGTGCCTCTGGCTCATCATGCTCGCTGTTTCACAGGCTCTTCAGGCACCAGCATGCCACGAGAACCTGGTCAAAGTGGGCGGCTACATCCTGGGGGAGTTTGGAAACTTGATAGCTGGGGACCCAAGATCCAGGTAAGAGACCCTTTGGAGTCAGGTGAGCATCGAGTTCTGATGCTGGGCCCGCGCCTCCTGGTTCTCACCCTGACAGTCTGAGTAGAGGTTGGCCAACGTCCTCACGTGCTGTCGGGACAGCCCAGAGCAAGACCACTTCCACTCTGGATTGACATCTTCCTGTTTTTCTTCAAGCTGTACAAAAAACAGGGATTCTAGTTGAAAATATAGAGATGTGGTCTATGGCTAACATTATTCAAAGAGGAAATTTGCGCTCCATCTGGAATTGGAAATGCATGCCTCCCTGGACACCTTCACCTTCACGAGAGTGGTTCTGGTTTAGTGTGGCGTTGATTTCCCCGAGTCTGTCCTCGCTCACCTTCCCCCGCCTGCTGAGACACTCGGCGGGGGGCTGAGGCCCAGACGACGCAGGGGTGGGGTGGGTGTGTAGTGGTAGTGAGATGAGGAGGTAACGTTTTGCTCCTGCCCTGTCTCTGCTCTCCTTGCCCGTCACAGTCCTCTGATCCAGTTCAACCTGCTGCACTCCAAGTTCCACCTGTGCAGCGTCCCCACCAGGGCGCTGCTCTTATCCACCTACATCAAGTTCGTGAACCTCTTTCCGGAGGTGAAGACCACCATTCAGGATGTGCTGCGCAGCGACAGCCAGCTGAAGAACGCCGACGTGGAGCTGCAGCAGCGGGCCGTGGAGTACCTGCGGCTCAGCACGGTCGCCAGCACTGACATCCTGGTGGGCCCTGCACTGCCCTGTCCCACCCCTTGCAGTGGTGTTGCTTGTCTGGGGGTCGATAGCTGCGTGGCTTAGAGCTGTGCTGACCCTAGGCTTCCTTCCCACCAGGCCACCGTCCTGGAGGAGATGCCCCCGTTCCCGGAGCGCGAGTCCTCCATCCTAGCCAAGCTCAAGAAGAAGAAGGGCCCGAGCACGGTCACAGACCTGGAGGAGGCCAAGCGGGAGAGGAGCGCTGACGTCAACGGGGGCCCTGAGCCTGCCCCAGCCAGCGCCAGCACCATGGTGGGGCCCTTCCTGATGGCAGTGCCCCGCACGAGTGCTGGGGTGCCCAGTCCCCGGGATTCGGGACCAGCAGAGCGTTTGCCTGTTGGGGAGAATTTTCTGTTAAATATGAGTGTGTGCCAAGAGCCTATCGGTGGCATCAAGCCTGAGGCCTTCCTCTCTCCTTCCCCTGGGATCCCCAAGACTCCTCTCATCCAGATGGCCGGCCTCATGCAGACCGCCTGTGTTCTGTCTTCTGGACTCTCCCAGATCTTCTCTGGTTTGACTTTTGTTTTAGGATATACCGTCACTCACCTCTTTTGTAGGACTGCCTTGTGTAGGAGGCCTGTCCAGCTGCTCTGGGTTGGTTGAAGGACCCATTTTGTGCTGTTTTTAGAGGTTTTCAGTAGTAAATTGGATTGGAGCAAATTGCCCTTTTGTGTATAACGTGGTGAGAATATTCACCTGTAAATGAAAATATGTCCTTTGATGGGACCCAGGACTGTGGGCTTTCTGCTTGTCCATCTGGAAGGAAGCCTGGAGAGCTTTGTTTCGTCTTCAGGGTGCTGGCCCAGGGATGTGAATAATGCCACTTAGCCATGTCAGGTGGGCTTTGTGAGGATGAGCTTCGGAGGTGACGTGTGTCTGTGCGTGGACAGCCCAGGGCCTTAGTGGTTTGCTTGTTGAATGCTTGTGTCTGAGCCCAGGTGCTCCTTGGCGGGGTCCCCTTGGCCTGACCCCATGTCTGCTTGTGTGCCTCCGTTGATCATGTGTCCTACTCCTCAGGCTGAGGACACTGTGCCCGCCATGAGCCTTTACTTGGGGTCCTGTATTGGTTAGGACCCCTCCCCTGAGCCCTGACACCTTTTCTCCAGAGGTGCCCTCTGTAGTCCGGACCCTCTGCTGCGTTTCCGTCTGATGCCTGCTTGTGGCTCTTGGCAGCTTGAATTTCGTGATGAATTGGTTTTGGAGTGAATGATAAATGCGTGCTTTTTCTCCGAGTGGTCATCATCCCTTGGTACCTGAGTAATTTAATAGGGTTGGCTTTTCAAAGCCCGTGCCTTTGATCTTGTCCTGTGGGCACGGAGTGGACCTGGAGCCTGAAGGCAGTGACTTGCTCACCCTCTCAGGCTGACACTTGCGAAGAGGTCATGAAGCTCATCCTAGTGCCAGAGAGTTTGTTGATAGATTAGCAAAGTGACGTGATTTCTGGAGACAGTGTGTGTGCATGTTTATTTATGAACTGGTGTTCTTGCTACACCAGATTGGGGGCCTTTTCCGTGGTGCTGGAGGAGGCCGCTACTCTGCCGGTGCCATTCCAGTGAGAGACAATGGCAGCTCTGCCCTGCACAGAGGCAGCAGCGGTCTCTGAAGGAAGACATACACTGTGTGAGGTGGGGCATGCAGGGGCTTCCTCATGGCTGCCTCCCAGGAGAGACTGCAGTGGTTCGTCTGCACCCAGGGAGGCAGCCCAGGCACCCTCCTTCTTCCCTAGCAGCTCTGACTGTGAGCTAACGTGAGTGGGGGAAATGGGTTTTAATGTCTTATTTTGATGGTTGTCATTGGTCTCTCTTACTTGATTTTTCTTGAAATGTGCACATACACCAGGTCTTTTGGCCACACCTGGGTTTGCCCAGCTATGCCCAGGATGTAGCAGGGCCTGGGATCCAGGCTCTGGCGTTTGGCTGAGTGTTTTAGCCAGAATCTGATGGAACCTTCCTAACCCTGGATGTCAGCAGTGAGCTCCACTTTGAAAAGGCAGATGCGAGATAAACGGAACCAGAAGAAGATTTAACATTTCGATAAGGCCAATCTGGGCGCTTGGGGAGACGGGGGAGGCCTGCTTTCAGGTTAATTGAGTAAATTTTCTAACCGTGGGCTGTAAGGTTTCTTGTGGATGGTAAGTCGTGCCTGGCACGTGCGTGCTTAGGGAGCAGATGTTCCTTGTGAGCAGATGGCTGCCCTTCTGAATTGAGAGCCTGCAGTGCTGTGGATAGCAGCGTGATCACGTGAGTTCTTGTTTGTTCTCAGCGCTCACACGGCTGAGGGTCAGATCAGAGAGAACCCCTCCAAAGGGAGAAAGACCGTGGTAGGGGCTGGGGCATTGAGACAGGAGAAGCAGGACAGAAAGGGGAGGGTCCTCCTGACGGGAATTCTCCTCGTGTCCTCCTGTTTCAGCCTCAGAGGGGAGCCCCACCTCAAAATGGTATTGAGATGTGTGGATTTTACATGAAAACCAGTGGTGCCTTTTACTTTGGTGTAATATTGGCCAGAATGTCCTGGATTTCTGGTTGTAGGTGATGCCAGCAGATTGTTTTCTTTGCAACAGTCTGCTCTTCTTGTGTTCACAGTCCTGTGGGCCTGGGTGCTTCTACACCTGCAGCTCCTGGTTGCACATCTGTGCATCTGGAGTGTTTGTTGCCATGCCAGACCGCCTCTGGTGGGTGTTTGGAGACTGCCCAGTCTTCCTGAAGTGGACCTTCAGGCTGGTGGAGGAGCCTGGAGCCGTCTTGTTCCAGCCTTTTTGCTGTTCTGATTCCTGCCGTCATTGCTGTCAGACTGAGGAGGTGTAACTTGTGCAGACTGGGCACTAGGCAGGCTCCTGGGAGGGTGTCTCCACGTCCTGAAAGGAGAGGTGGAGAAGAGGAGTGGGTCCCGACAGGCTGTGGGGGAGAGCTGGCACGTGGGTCTGGGGAGGGCGCATGGCATCCTGGTAGGTCCACCCAGCAGAACAGGCTTGCTTCTGTCGTAACTTTTGGGGTGCATATTTTATTTAATTGGACAAAAGAGTTTTCCTACTTTAAAAAGCATTCGGACCGTTATTGAGGAACCAGTGGTAAAAATCTTGTCGTAGGTGCAGAGGGGAGATGATCCCCATTCTCGCTGCAGGTGCATCAGCTACAACAGGTACCTTCCTTGCATAATTTGTAGTGAGGCTCTAGCCACCTGAAATCAGCTCCTGACCCTCCCCACGTGGTCACGCTCCTGGTGATCCAGCGTGGCAGACGGTGTTGTGAGCGGCTGTGTTTGCAGGAGGCCATCCCAGGTGCAATAAGGACGGAGAACCACCTTTAGATAATTTCATCTGGACACTTCCTGACATGGCAGAAATTTCTGATGTTCCTTATCCTGACAGCTCCTCCGTGGCCACCTCCTCTTCTCCAGGGCCTTCCCCTTACTGAGGAGTCCAGCCTGTCCGCTCTGCCCGCGAGCCCCTCACCCTGGAGCTGCCCCACCGGCAGGCCTGCTTCTCTCTTCAGGGTTGGCCTCAGTGCGCTGCCTCTCCTGGAGCCTTGAGGAAGGAGGGCCGCCATGCAGAGCAGGCTCCTTGGCCTGCACAGACCCACGCCCTCTTTGCAGAACATATATTTTTTTTTTTGAGGAAGACTGGCCTTGTGCTAACATCTGTTGCCAATCTTCCTCTTTTTTTTTTTTTCTCCTCCAAAGCCCCAGTGCCTAGTTGTGTGTCATAGTTGTAGAGTTGTAGCTCTTCTATGTGGGACGCCACCTCAACGTGGCTTGATGAATGGTGTGTAGGTCCACGCCCAGGATCTGAACTGGCAAACCGCTGGCCGCTGAAGTGGAACGCGCGAACTTAACCGCTGTGCCACCGGGCTGGCCCCAAACATATATTTTGTAATGCCTCTTTTATCTTGAAATGGAATTCATATGTACTATCACCTCCCTACACATGTAATTTTTTAGAAATTCAGTGTAATGTAATATAAAAGAGAAATAAGCGGTTATATCTATGGACACATTGATTTCACACGTAAGTGCTCAGCGTGGCTCCACTGGAAGGCAGGAGCCAGTCACTGGCCGGTACCCGGGGCAGGTACATTGCATGCCGGAGAAAGAAAGTACTTTGGCCTCTTTCAGCTCACAGGGTGGTTGCGTTCCTGGACAGATGAGTGTTTATTAAAACCGAGGAAAATATTAATTGCAATAATGTAAGATGACATTAGGATATAGTCTCAGATAACTGTGAACTGATTTTTACCTTTGTGAATGTCCAGCGGAACATTCAAAAGTCATTCAGATGACTTCTCAAGGCAGAGCTGCTTACCTCCCTGGTCCTTGCCTACAGCATAATCTGGGGATCGTCTGAGCCCCACGTGCCTCGGCTTTGGTGTGCGGCTCGGTGGTGGGCCCTATCATGTGGCGCTCCCATGGGAGTATGGGGGACGACACAGGTGCTGTGGTGTTTGGTTTTGGGAGCAAGTGTGGAAGGAGCTGTGCTGTGTGCGTCTCACCGTGTGGGTTTGAGAGTGATTTCTGAGTGGCTCTGTTCTTTGTCTTTTGCCTAGGATCAAAAAGCAAATTATTTTCTAAAAATTGTCTCTTCTGTAGGCTATTTACTTTTTCTCCATAACTCAATAAAACTTAACAATGGTTAAACTAAAAATGAGCCGTAGTAAGTTACTTGCTTACTTTTCAGCTCTTCAAACTTACTCTGTGGATGGTTTTCAGTAACGTTCATGGTCTCATTTGTTAAACCAGACACTTCTGTTTGATTTCTTTCATGGCCAAAGTTTCTATGGACCTTTTTTCGTTCAAATAACATTTGTGAGGAAAGATTGGCTCTTTTTCCAGTCATGTGAGGTTGTGATAATCTTGCAAGTGTGATGGTCTTCAGGCTTGACTCTGGGGTGCAGCTGCGCCCCAGAAGTGGTTGCACCCCTCACTTCCTGGATCCTTGCACAGTCCAGCCCGGCCTGGGAGCTGTGGGCAGTGGGGGAGAGCTGTGGGCACTTGCGCTTTCTTGGTGGCGGCATGCCTGAAAGGTTCGGCACTGACCCATTCCTTCCCTGTTTTCCAGTCCACGCCTTCTCCTTCGGCAGATCTCCTGGGTCTGGGGGCCGCACCCCCTGCCCCCACGGGCCCCCCGCCCTCCTCCGGCGGGCTGCTTGTGGACGTGTTCTCAGACTCACCCTCCGCGGTCGCGCCTCTCGCTCCCGGCTCCGAGGACAACTTTGCCAGGTAGTCGGTCTCCCTCGTCCTGAAGACAGGGACTTGCTCCACCCCGACCCCCTACCCGGGACTCTCTCTACCTGCCCCCCTGCCCGGCCCTCAGTCAGCGGTCACCTGGAAGGAGTGGGCTGCAGTCCTTACCTCCAGGTCGCTCACTGGCGAGGCGAGGGCGCCTGCTGTGCTCTGGCGGGTTTGCTCTGTACCTTCCCCCATACTTCGTGGACTGTCAGTTTTCACTAGGCGAAGATAGCTAACATTCTCAAAAAGAAGAAAAACGGGTGAAAAAAGCCACACAGGCTGGTGCTCAGTTGTGTCTCGTTTGTGTGCTGATGTTTCATTGTATTGTTTCAGCTGTTGCTTCTTTTCAGGATGTTTATTTCTCTCCGGAGCTGTATTTCTTTCTTCTCTCTTCACCACTTTTCCTCTTAATCAGGCTGCTTTCAACTCTGCCTTAAATCACTCTCGCTGTCTGCCTTCCAGCTACCAAGCCTTTTTGTTTTAAGAAACACGCTCCCGTTGCATAATCGCTGCTTGGTCCCATAAAGCCTGTGTTCTGAGGTGTGCTTCACCCTCCTCCTGTGACCAGCTCTGTCAGCATCACTTTGACTCCATCGAGATGCTCACACACCTGCTGGGTGCCAAGCCCTGCCTTCCTATGCTGTCGTCGTTGCCCCTCTGCCCCCATTTTCAAAATATAATTGTCAAACTGCTCTTCCCAGCATGTTTTCTTTCCCGTTTTTTTTGATCTGCAGATTCTGTGCCTTTTTCCTTCCTGCTCTCTGTCCCTCCCTGTCTCTGCTGATCTTAAATCTGGCCAGGCGGTGTGGGAGGGCTCTGCTTTTGAGTGGAGAGTCTTCCAGGAATGGCTCCTTGTCTTTGGTTGTTGTGAAGACAGCAGAATTCTTGGGTTTTACAATTTTCCCTGTCTCTTTTGTGTTCGTAGTGCGTGCTGATTATTTCCTGTTACTTGTTGAAAATGACTGAGGAAAGGCAGGCTTGGGCTGGTGTGAGTTGCCCATCTTTGGCTGAAAACAGACTTTTTACTGCTTTTAGAACTGCTGAGTTTGAGACTGAGAAGCACCACAGACCCCAGGTTGCAAGGCCCTTGCGATGTGAAGCAGCACATGTTCTGGGGAGAGTGCTGGGCTCCTAGCTGGACGTCCTGGTCTAGGCGGTGGTCTGGGGCAGGGGCTTCATTCAGCGTTCATAGCCCTCGCTGTGTTTGCAGGCCCCAGGAGCTTCAGGAATGTGCAGTGCCCGTGCCACAGGCCTCCTCGATCGCTGGGCTCGGGCAGGGGCATTTCTGCAGCTTCCCAGGTGACCCTTGAGTGTCCCCTTGGGCCAGGGAAGGCCCCAGTGGGTGGAAGGCATGAATGAGTAGGCAGTTTGCTATAACCCGAGGCCTTGGTGCCATCTCACAGTGGCTTGCCCCGTTCCTAGGCCCTTCAGCAGGTGTGCAGGCATTTGGCTGTCTGGCCTTGACATGGCTGCAAAGGGTGGTTAGGTACCTGATGCAGATTTGGTGGGGGTGGAGGTGCAGAGCACTTTGGGGCAGGCACAGTTCATGCTGCCCACAGCTCATGGTGTAGGAAGGTGTGCACTCTCATAGGCCTTCCAAAGTGGCCTTTATTAGCCCATAAATTCCACAGGAGCACGTTTTGGTTGAGATGACCCTTTGAAAAAACAACTAACCAACCAGACATTGACTGTTAGGTTACTTCCCTCCCTTAGTGGGTGATGCCTCAATGCCTTTCCCGTTTCCTTCACAAAGGTCAGCTTAAAGTGGCTTAGTGCAAACCAGCTGTAGCACGTACGCTGCACGGCCTTGTGTCTGGACGTGGGGCGCAGTGGGATGCTGCTTCTGTAGATTTGAGTCGAGTGTGGGTGGGGCAGCGATCCTGTGGCTGTGTGGCTTGGGGCTCAGCCGCCTCGGTCAAGTCTCCTCTTGCTCTGAGAGTCCTGGGAGCACCTGGGTCCCTGTGATTGATTCCGGGAAACGCAGTTGTGCACGTTCTCAGGTGTGTTTTGGAAGATGGTTGTGCGTATTGAATGCATTGTGTTACTTTGTGAAGCTTCATCGTAGCTCAGGCTGGATAGAAAGCCTTTTGTGTTGAGGCCTGGAAGACTGGATGAGGTGGAGGGGCAGCTGTGGCCCTCGGTGTTCTGTGGGGGCCGCGTGGGGAGCAGGGCCCTGTGCTGTGGTGAGTGGACACAGGGTGGAGCCAGGCTCAGCTCTCTCCGTACTAACCACACCTCTCGCCGTCTCTGCTGCTGCTTCCTCTGTCTTCCTTCTGTGCTGCTTGAATTAGCCCTGACCTGGCTTCAGCAGAGGGAGTTTCTGAGAGACCAGCTGACTGTGCACGATGCTGATGATCTCATACGCGAGTAAGCAATGCTCGAACCTCTGCGGGTGGGCACCAACAGTAAAATTCGAACAAAATAGGACAATGCAGGAATCACTGGCTTTGAGCTTCTCCAAGCCAACAGCACAATTGGACTTGGAGATTTCAAGGTGGGGGGCAGCTGCTGCGGAGTGTCTGTCTCTCAGGCCACCCTGCCACCATGCCCGTGGAGCACTCGGTGTGGAGAGCTCGCCCCACCTCCTCCTCTGAACTGCACCTCCTCCCTCACATGCTGGCTGAGGAGCCGCAGAGTGAGGCCTGGGCCCCGAGAGTGGCTGGCTCCTGCTGCGTCCACACGACTGCGACGCCCGCCCACTCCCTCTCCCCTTCCTTTTGGTCCCAGTTCACTATGTAATTATGATTTATGTTAGAGGAGGCCAGAACAGTTTCAGCTCCTCTGAGGTAAATACAAGTAAAAACTAACACACACGTTATTTTATTTTGCTCCAGTTCTGTGTAGTGTAGAGACCTGTAGTGAGCAAAACCCTGGGCCCCTGTGCAGTACAAACGCTAACCCTGCCCTGAGGAGCAGGGAGCGAGGAGAGGACAGGAGAGGAGAAGAGAGGAGAGGAGAGAGGGGAAGGGAGCAGAGCACCAAGTTGCCAAGGGGTGGGCTGCCCGGGCGTGAGTGTGCGTGGCCTACAGACAGCCTGGGATGGGATGCTGATCCCAGGATTGAGGCCAGTGCTTGGAGTCAGATGGGAGAGCCTGTGGTCCGACCTGAAAGTGTGTGCATGTGCCTCAGTGCCTGTGTCCTGCCATTACTTGTTGACCAGCACTCTGGTGAGAAGCAGACGACCAACCTGTCTCCCGTGGTCATGCCTCAGCGTGCCTGTGTCACTGCTCTCTGCTCACTCTCTGTCTCCAGTGGACGCTCTTCATGGTGTTCTTTGGAATATTTTACTGCTTTTCCCTTCCCTCACGTCCCATAAAGGTTTTTCTGGCCTTAGTGTTTGTTAATCCCTTTTTCAGAATAAATCTGTGTTTTCAGTAGACGGCTTTGAGTGATTCACATGTCCCTTTTCCCCTAGGTTTGTCTGTAAAAATAACGGTGTGTTATTTGAAAACCAGCTGCTTCAAATTGGACTGAAGTCTGAATTTCGGCAGAATTTAGGTATGTGTTTTAATTCCTTAATGAAAACTTCTCTCAGAAATTATGGGGAGAAAATACTTGCAAATCATGTATCTGATAAGGGTCTAGTTTCCAGAACGTATAGAGAACTCCAATTCAACAACAGAAAAACAAACAACTCAGTTAAAAAATGGGCAAAGGACTTGAATAGATATTTTTCTAAGGAAGACGTACAAGATGGCCAAAAGCACGTGACAAGATGCTCGACATTACTGATCATTAGGGAAATGCAGTTCAGAACTACAGTAAGATATTACCTCACATCCATCAGGATGGCTACTCTCAAAAGGGCAAAATGAGTGATGGTGAGGATGTGGAGAAATTGGACCTTGTGCACTGTTGGTGGGAATGCAAAATGGTATAGCTGCTGTGGAAAACAGTATGGCACTTCCTTAAAAATTTAAAAACAGAGCTACCATATAATCCAGCAATTCCGTTTCTGGGTCTATTCCCAAAAGTAGTGCATGTAGGGTCTTGAAGAGATATTTGTACACTCCCCGTGTTCACAGCAGAATTATTCACAACAGCAAAAAGGTAGGAGCAAGCCAAGTGTGCATTGATGGATGAATAGATAAGCAAAATGTGGTCTGTTCACACAGTGGAATATTACTGACCCTTAAAAAGGAAGGCATTCTGACGCCTGCTACCACATGGATGAACCTTGAGGACATTATGCTGAGTGAAGTAAGCCAGTCACGAAAGGACAAACACTGTGATTCCACTTACGTGAGGTCCCCAGCGTTGTCAAATTCGTAGAGACAGAAAGTAGAGTCATGGGTGCCAGGGGCTGGGGGAGGGGGAGTCAGTGTTTAAAGGGGACAGATTTTCAGTTTGGGAAGAGGGAAAGTTCTGGAGGTAGATGGTGGTGATGGTTGCACAACAATGTGAATGTGCTTAATGTCCCTGAACTGTACATTTAAAAATGGTTACAATGATAACCTTAATGTTATGTATATCTTACCACAATTTAAAAAAAAAGCTTTTGAGTCCCTTCCCCCCAAAATTATGCCCACTGACCGTGGGGGCTGCTGCCGAGGGGAGGCACTTGTGGACTGACGGCGGCCCACCTCCTGCTTGGGCGCTGTCACTGAGCCTGTGAGGACTCATTTTTCTCTCGTCTGTAAAAACATGTGAAAGTGTGGGGAGAAAAAGAGAAGTCATCCAGCTGCCTTCTAGGGATCTTTGAGGGATGTTGTGAGGATTAGCAGAGTAGTGCTCGTGGGAAATTGTGTGTTGAAATAGAGTGGGATAGTTTATTCCTGATTTGATTCAGGTGTTAGACTCTGGGCCACGATGGCTTCACCTTGGTTTTGGTGGTTTTTTAAGTTGTGGGAGGAGTGATGCCAAACTGCCTGTCTTTTTCAGGATATTTGAGGTTTACTTTCCATTCTGAATTCAAAGGGTATAAAAATATTCACAGAGGTTTGTGTAAAGATTTCTGTTGTGCTATAAATAACTGAAGACGTTTGAGTAGCCTCAGTGCCTGCCAGCTTGGAGTTCATGAGCTGCTCCGCTGGAGAGCTCAGGGGCTTCGTTGTGGAGGGGGGCACCAACACCCTGCCCCGTGGTGGAGGCAGGTCCAGCCAGGCCTCCCTGGGGGGTCCCGGGCAGGGCGGGACTGGCAGTGACTATGGTGGCCTGGAGGCACAGGACCCCCGGAGCAGGGGTGCTCGAGTGTGCTCCCTGTTGACACGTGGGTGCACCCCATCCGTCGTGGGAAGGTGGGTAAATGGAGGCCGTGCACGCGGGGTGTTGCAGAGCAGGAGTCCCTCAGCAGTAGGAGAGGTGATCTTTGTGTCCTTGTGGCCAGAGTCGTGGATCACAACACTTCACGTAAATTCAGCTGGGGGTGGGGGCCTCTTGTTTTTCACTGTTAATATTCAGGATATGTGTGAAATGACGTGTGTGAAACAAATTGTGTTTGTGTCCTTCTAGGTCGGATGTTTATATTTTATGGTAATAAGACCTCCACGCAGTTCTTAAGTTTCACTCCAACACTAATCTGTTCAGACGACCTTCGGGCCAATATCCTTGGTTCCATTTCCCCGTGCCCCTGATAGACAGTAATTTGGGATTTAGAGGACGGTTTTGAGGAATTTTTTTCCCTCTTGATCAGAATAGCAAGGTATTTCCAGGTGCTGTAGTAACATCAGATGGTCTTCCCACATCTGAGTTATTTATTGATGGTGCGTGTAGAAATGACATGTGGCGTCTGCTCCCGTTTCATTTGGCTCGTTGGAGTCACTTCCTCTTTCACTTGTTTTGTTCTCCTGGGACATTATTTTTAAAGATTTTATTTATTTATTTTTCCCCAAAGCCCCAGTAGATAGCTGTGTGTCATAGCTGCACAACCTTCCAGTTGCTGCATGTGGGACGTGGCCTCAGCATGGCCGGAGAAGCAGCGCGTCGGTGCGAGCCTGGGATCCGAACCCGGGTCGCCAGCAGCGGAGCGCGCTCACTTAACCACCAAGCCACGGGGCCGGCCCAAGGGACATTATTTTTAAGTCTCTCTGAGCTCTGGTCTCCTTCTCTGGGAGTTTCCCTGGAGCGAGCTGCTGCTGCTGACAGCAGAGCGAGCGGTGGACGGGCTGCCCTGGACCGAGGCCACACGCTTGGGATGAGCTTGTGTTTGCTTCCAGAGGCTCTGTGTTCCGACTGGAGACTTGTCCCTAATAAATACCAGAAATGTAATTAGAACTTTCCCAGCTAATGTCAGCTTTGGTATCCAGATACCTCTTCCTCCAAGGATGGGCCGACCAGATAAGCTGAGGGTGCAGAAGGCCCCAGCTTGACCAGAGAAGGGTGCCGCCTTCCCTGAAGAAGACTCGTGTGAAGCAGTAGCCTCCTTACCACAGGCCAGATCCTTTTTTTTTTTTTTTTTTTGTGAAGATTAGCCCTGAGCTAACATCTGTGCCCATCTTCCTCTACTTTATATGTGGGATGCCACCACAGTGTGGCTTGATAAGCAGTGCGTAGGTCTGAGCCCAGGATCCAAACCTGCGAACCCAGGGCTGCTGAAGCTGAGTGTGCACACTTAACTGCTACGCCACTGGGCCAGCCCCAGATCCAAAACGTAAGATAAATACGTTTTAAACATAGGCTAAGTGTTTCAAGCTAAGTGTTTCAAAATAGTCATTAGAGACACATTATGGGGGCTCACCTGTCTTAAAGGTTCATCCAAGATCAGGAATGTGAGTGCCGACTCTTCCAGAGCCTCACTCCTGGGCTTGTTGGGTCCCTGGGCCCAAAGGGCTTGCTCGGCTCGGGCCCACTTTCCCAACGTTGACATGGCCTCCTTGACACGGACACATCTGAGCCTGCAGACCAAGCCTGTGGACCCGACTGTGGACGGGGGCGCGCAGGTGCAGCAGGTTGTCAACATAGAGTGTGTGTCTGACTTCACAGAGGCGCCGGTCCTCAACATCCAGTTCAGGTAGTAGCCCTGGGTCACGGGTTTGCTAGCCGGGCAGGCTGTATTACTGGCCCGCTCTGGCCTGGAGGTTGGGGTGTGGGGGTTGGGCCTGCACACAGCTGTGTCCCTGGGAGCTCTTTGTCCTCGCTAGGCTCAGCATCCTTCCTTCAGAGGGTGTCATGAGGACTGAGGGAGTGGCCAGGTAAATGCTCTGCACACAGCAGTGTTAGCTGTGGCGAGGATGGGAGGTGCGGGGACAGAAGGTGTGCCCAGGACTCTGTGAGGCCAGGATGAACCAGCCTCTGAGATTCCTGGCAAGCGGTGCTATCTTGGTGAGGCGAGTGCTTCCAAGCTGAGGAACAGAGGGGCCTACCCCACGGGGTTGGGGGCCAGCCAGGTCCCATGTGCTGCTGCTTGCCTTGCTGCTCTGGAAGTCAGCTGCAGGGTGATGGGGTCCCTCCGGATCCTCGTCTGGGTGTGTGAGTTTTTGCATAGTCATACTCCGAGCACACACACCATCTTGATTATTTTTTTAAAAAATGTATTTTATGTTGCTGCTGGATTCATTACTGTTCTACAATAGAGTGTACATGATCAACTAGTTCCCTGTTGGGTGTTCGTAAGGTTAAATTTTTTAAAAGCACATTTGAAATTAAAAACATAGAGAAGTGAAGATTGTGTACTTTGTAGAATTTAGGGAAATAGACATGCAAATTCTTGTTTCATTCTGAAGGCAAACTCTTTAATCTTTTCATGGAAAAAAGAAAAAAAAAGCCCACACAACTGACACCAACTTGGAGTTGTAGGAGGTGGACTGATGGGGAAGAGTGAGGAGGGGATGGAGGTCCCCAGGCTCATCCTGGGGTTTCATGGGCCCATCTACCCACATGCCCTCATGAGCAGTTCACTTCGTGGGCCCAGCTCGTGGGTCTCCATCTATGAATGACATTTCACTCTGAGGTAGACTGAGCCTCTCTGTGACTCAGTGCCACCCTTCCAGAACTCTCCGTCCTGCCCTTGTTGACAGGACAGTCCCCACTGGTAGGCAGAGGAGCCTGGCCCCACCCTGGAGATTTGCAAACTAGGAATTTGGCTCTCCAGTTGAGTTTCAGCTCTCCTGTGCTCTTTTCAACATGTCTCTGTTGCTCATAGGTATGGGGGAACCTTTCAGAATGTGTCCGTTAAGCTGCCTATCACACTCAACAAATTTTTCCAGCCCACAGAAATGGCTTCTCAGGATTTCTTTCAGCGTTGGAAACAGCTGAGCAGGTAAGCAGGGAGTGGTGGGGAGGGCCTTCTAGTCTCTGACTCGGCTGAGAGTGCTTACGCTTGTCTTTGTTTCTCACAGTCCCCAGCAGGAAGTGCAGAACATTTTCAAAGCAAAGCATCCAATGGACACAGAGATCACCAAAGCCAAGGTAGATCCTTGTTTGTGGGCGTTCCCAGAGTTAGGACACTGCACTGGGCTCTGAGGAGGCTGGTTGTATTCCCACCCTTTGAATGGTCCACCAATCTTGCTGCCAGTGTCCTGACTCTCCTGTGTCTTTTGCACAGATTATTGGGTTTGGTTCTGCGCTCCTGGAAGAAGTCGATCCTAACCCTGCAAATTTTGTGGGAGCCGGGATCATACATACCAAAACCACCCAGATTGGATGCTTATTGCGCTTGGAGCCAAATCTACAAGCCCAGGTCAGGCCTCTTGAGGAAATGGCTAAATACACTTAAATTGGTTTTTTATAGTGGTGTAATTTATACACAGTGAGATACATAGATCCTAAGTGTAGTAGTTTGATGAGTTTCAACAGATATGTACCCTGTTGATACATATAACATTTCCATCACCCCAGAAAGTTCCATGGTGCCCCCTCTCTGTCAACTCTGGCCTCCCCTAGAGGCAGCCACCACGGGGCCTGCCATCGGGCTGCCATGGCCCTGAGCTCCTTGAGTCCGCTGTGTTGCTGCATGTGTCCATGGTTGGCCCTCGTGCTGGCCCTGCGGCACTCTTTCGCAGGAACGTGCTCCAGTTGGTTTACCCAGTCCTCCTGTTGATGGACATCTGGGCTGTCCCAGTTTGGGGCCATTTTGAATAGAGCTGCTAGAAATATTGCTGGACGTGCCTTTATGCAGACATGTGTTTGCATTTCACTTGGTAATACCCGGGGTGGAATTGCTGGCTCATAGGGTATGTGCACAGTTACCTTTACGAGAAGCTGCCACATTGTTTTCCTGAGTGGCTGCACAATTTTATCCTCCCACCAACAGCATATGAAGGTTCCGGTTGCTCCACTCGTGCACTGGTCCTTGTTATTGTCAAACTTTTTTACTTTAGCTGCTGAAAGCGTGTTTGATGCTTGAGTCTTTGTAAAACAGTGGGCACCTCCAGAGAGAGGCTGAGCAGGGGGAGCTCGAGTGGCTGCTGGGTGGGGCCTGGCGCCAAGGCCATCTGCTGCCCCGAGCTGTCTTCCCAGGGCTGCGTGAGCCCTGGCCTGCCCACTGACCTGCTGTGTTCTTGATTTCAGATGTACCGACTCACGCTGCGGACAAGCAAGGAAACCGTCTCTCAGAGACTGTGTGAATTGCTGTCAGAACAGTTTTAATCCACAAGGATGGAGGATCAGGCTCCTGTGTCTGTGCATTTTTCTTCGTCTCTACCATTTGTCTTCATTACCATGCTGCAAATAAATACCCCTGTCTGCTGTCGCAGTACAGCGCCTCCCAGCCCTGCTTCTCCAGCCCTTGGCCCTCTTGGGGATGGACGGGAACACGAGTGCGCAGTTCTGGAAGAGCCTGAGCCTGGACTGCAGCCGGCCTGCCAAGTCAGAAGGAGGGAGTCTGGATCTTGGGATCAGTTTTTATAGAAATCAAGACAGTTCTGTGGTTAAATCTGCAAATTAAAGGGAAATTAGAAATTTGAATGAAAATGGAAAATTTTTTGAAATTTTATCAAAATACCACTGCTCTATTGCTGACGGTTCATCTCTGATTTTCTGAGAGAAGAAGCGGCATTTTGTCTGTAGCGGGGCTAGATCTTAACTAGGCCATTTCGCTATTTTGCTGGGTGATGCCGGGTGCGGGAGGCACGTGATGTGTCTCACGGGCTGGTGAGGCGTGTCCACGTGCAGCCTGGGTGCCATCCTCGGCCCTGGGTGCGTGAGTATGGTGCCTGTGGGCTTGCTGCAGCATCGGCTGGACGGTGTTCCTTGGGCAGGGTTCTAAATCTAGAAGTTAGGAACATTGGTGTTTTTAGTGACTCTCAACAAAACCACGTGTCCTGGCCAGATGTGTCCTGTTTCCCTTCTCCCAGCTTTGTGTTCTTAGAGGGGTATTTGTAATGCTCTCTGACTGTCTCAGACCTTCCGTTTGCAGTCTGCTGGGAGGAGGGTTACTGGCGGCCCCAGAGGGTATGCTGTTGCCTCACTGTCTTTGGGTCTCAAGTAAGTGCACTGTCACCATAGTGGCCAAGTGGTGGTTCCGTTTGTGATTGGAGGGCTAAATGTGGGCCAGGAGGTGAGCTGGTTTCTAACCTGTTCAGTGGCCTTAACCTGTCGATGCCGTTTGCCCTGGGTCATGACTGCGGCCGGGGTGCTGTGGACCTTGGCCTGTGTGGTGGAGGAGGAAGGCCTGTGTGTGGTCAGGAAGCAGAGAGCCGGGCTGGGGAAGAGCTGTAGCCCATCCTCTGCAGTTGCTCTGGTCTCTCGGCTTTCATGTGGCGTCAGCCTGCGCTGGCTGCCCGGCTGCAGGTCTCCACCTTGAGGTGGCTGCCACAGGAGCAGAGCTGAGCCAGGGCCTCTGTTCCGTTAGTGGCTGATGTGCCAGCTGGGTGACAGGCACAGGGTGGCAGGTTTGTCCTAAACAAACGTGTCTGTTATCGGCACTTGAGGGACCTAGAAAGACTCAGGGCCCTCTGTCGGTTCCCCTGGTTTACCAGTAGGGACCAGGGTCCTCAGAGACGCACCGTGGGGGAGCCACACGGGGCACTGAGGAGCACAGGCAGCACTTTGTGACGGGGTGAGTCCTGTGGAGGCAGCTTCAGGGAATTGCTGAGTGGGTGCTGGTGCTACTGCAGGGTAGCATGGCTGGGGGCCCTGCCACACTGCAGACACCCCCACTCAAGTTTCCCACACCCATCACTCTGTGTAGCCCCTGGACTGTGCAGTCTGTGATCCATGTTGATCTGAGTAACTGGTGCCTGTGTGTCCCATGGAGTCTGCAGCTGTGCCAGTGTGTGGTGACATAGCAGCTGACAGCACCGGGTTTGCATTGCAGATTGATAGCATGGCCATGCCACCAAAGTGACGCTCCTCGTGCTTTTGTTCAACCTGCTGGACAGTGCGCGGTGTTTGGGTACCGACATGTGGACTGCCAGCTCGGCGGTTGTTTCTTGTGTCAGTCGACACCCTCCCTAGAGAGGCAGGATGGTTCTGGTAGGCCCTCAGTGTGGGACACTCTAGGTGAGGATCCATCAGTAAAGCATGTTCCTTTCCAAAGAAAAATAAATGCTAGAACAGTGACCGGAGCATGTGCTGTCTTTGGAGGGAAAAGCCTCCCACATTCAGCTCAAGGCCGTGTCCTCTGGGCTGTGTGGGATGTTGAACACCGAGGACACGGGCATGGTGCCTGCCCTGGAGCAGGGCCCGCTCTCCTGGGTCACAGGGGTGGAAGCTTAGGTGTGTCTGAGGTGACATGCCTTTGTGCTGTGCTTTGGTTCCGGCTGTGTGGTTTAGCCTGCGGGACTCATCCTGGTGGGGCCTTCAGCATTGCCTTGGCGCTACCCACGGCACAGTGTGTGTTGGGGTCCCGCCTTCTGGAGGCCTCGGGTCTGAGGGAAAAGTGGGCCCAGGGGATTCCTTCCTGGTCTGAGGGATAAGAGCTCACATGAGGGTGACCCCAACCCCAGATAGGGTGCAGAGTCCCACAGGATGGAGAGTGTCCTAGGAGGGTCCTGAGTGAGGGAGGGACCCTGGAGGTGGGCCTGGGAAGGGCGAGAGGGTTTCTGAGGGGAGGTATGGGGAGAGTCCGGGGCCTGGAGTGGTGTCCCTTCCCGGCCCAGACCACTGCCGGGTCAGGCCCTGAGGAGCACTGTGGGTCTAGGGCTCATGAATGCCTGAGGGGTGCGGAAGACGACACCAGCAGAGCTCATGGGCCAGCCTCTTTGCTTGACGAATGCTAGTTTATTTTTCATCTGTTCATGGTGGGCATATCGTGCACAGTGCCTGTGACATCCCCTTCCCAGGGTGAGCTCGGCCGGCGGGCCAGGTGTTGGTGCTGGCTGGTGCTTGCTCCGCCCTCCGGCAGGTCACCCTCCCTTTCCTGACTGGACGGTTCCTCTGCTCACTGCCATCTTTGCTGCCTGCCTCATGACCCGTGCACCTGCCCCGTGCTCCCTCTGGAGCAGCCTTCCTGGCCACCCCCACCCTGGTGTCTGCTCCTTGGGCTATCTCCAGGGTTTGGTTCTGGCAGTGCCAGGCAGCTGCCTTCAAAGCCTGGGAGGCTGTGTGGATGATCATTGGGCATGGCCAGGAAGTGCCCTGTGCAGCCCATTGGGCTTGTTCAGGGTCTGCAGGACCCCTGCCTGGCAGCCCCCCTCCTGGCAGGTGCCCGGGTGAGCTGTGTCCGAGGCCGGGCCTATGGCCAGGAAAGGGGCTGCCAGACACAGCCAGCCAGGGGAGGTGTCGGGAGTGGTGCTCCGTGCTCGCGCCCCTAGTCCCCGCAGCGCTGGGACTGGCACGCACAGCTGCTGAACACCTGCAGCGTGAGCACTAGCTGCTGTCCTTGTGCTCCAGGATCTGGGCAGGGCAGCACCAGCTGCTTCTCATAGGAGCTGACGGGGTGGCAGCAGCCACAGTGCGTCTCCACTTGCTTGGTGTCAGTGTTGAAGCTGCAAAGAAGCCATGACAGGGAGCATGGGTCAGGGCTGCCGCCTAGGGAGTGTTCCCGCTCCTCCCTGGTCAGTCCAGAGAAAGGCGGACACCGAGAACTCAGGTGGGGCCCCCAGGGCGTGGCCTCCCGCTGCTGACCTCCCCATAGTTGGGGCAGGGTGTGGGCTGGGGCTACTTCACAGGTACATCTTCCCTGACTCCCACTTGGAGCTGCCTCTGTTGGACAGGGCAGGTTCCAAGCTCAGGGCCCAGCCCCGAACGGAGGCTACCCGGGGCTAACAGCTCACCTGGCCGAGGAGGCACAGATGCCCTCGCAGCGGGTCACTGTCACGTTGGCTTTGCATCCCTGGTAAGTGATCTCCTCCTCGAGCTCCTTCACACTGCAGACTCCTGGGAGCCAAGAGCTGGGTGGTCACTGCCAGCCCCAGGGCATGGCTGGAGGGCGGGTGTGGCCTCTGGGGCCTCTGTGCCTGCCCCTCACGAGGGCAGGACCTGATACACCCAGCACTGGGCTTCGGGTTTCTAAAACTTCTGTATGAAATAGTGAGCAGCACTGGCTCAGTGGAACGAGGAAGCTGCAGCCGCCAGCTGCGTAACTGCTTTGATGAGCCTGGGGCCCCGTGTGGGGCGCTTGCAGTGGCGTCTTCCCTGGGCGCCCGCCCCAGGCTGTCTCCCCATGTCCGAGCTCCCCTGAGCTCAGACCTCACAGCTTTGCTGGGAACAAAGCCTGATGGGCTCTCATTCTGTGTGTTTTCCTCCTGAAAGTTGGCTACACTGGGAGTCCCCCAGGTCAAGGGTTTTCTCAGAGGACGAGGCAGATTCCCAGCACTGGGCCTATGTGAGCCACCCTCAGCCCCAGCCTTCCCTGGGCACCTCCCTTCTGGGCCTGACACCAACCTGTGGGCGTAGTTGTCTCTGGTCTGCTGGGCCCAGAACCTGCGGGAGGGACGAGGGGAGGATGTCACTGTCCCCAGAGGGAACAGATGGCATCACGGGAACCCCCTGCAGGAGTCTGTGCTCACAAAGGGGGTGGAGTGCAGACCTAGCTGTGAGCTCTGGCCTGTGTCTATCCCAGTGGACAATTTTGGCGAGACACTTTGGGCACCCTGGCAGCTGGCAGTACAGCGTTGACATTAGAAGCTGTCAGTGTGGAACTTGAGTGAAAAAGCTAAAAGAGGTTCCTGAGCAAAGACTGGACAGTCTACCCTGCTTTCCCCACCGTGCCCATGGTTAAGGCCTCCCCATGACCTTGAGCCCTTGCCTGCCTTGCTTCTCCGCTGGAGGTGGGAATGAGAGGGCTAGTGGGGATGGGGCTCTGGGTGTGTCCCTGTGGCTTCCCATTGCCCTCAACTGTCCTCCCCTCCTGCTCCCTCACCCTGCTTACTGGGGTCCCCCCCATGGACAGCCTGCACCCAGTCCTCGTCTCACAGGAGAAAACATGTCATTGCAGACAGACCTGCCTGGGGGAAGGCCAGGGATGTGTGGGGGGAGCCTGGTTCAGGAGGACGGGTGCCATGGAGGGAACACCCAAAAGGGAGAGGAGGGGCGTCTCTGGAGAAGAGGATGGGCTCTGGCAGGCGTAGGGGAAGGAGAGCAGAGCAGAGCCAGAGGAGGCTATGGCACTGAGACTGGGGCAAGCGCTGATACTGGAGGGCTGGAGCCCAGGCTGCTAGTCCCTACCCAAGCTGAGGCACGTTCCCACCAGGACTTTGTTTTCCTTTCTGCAACCGGGGGGAGGGTTGGAATAGTTGAACCCCAGGGTCCCTGCCAGCCCAAAGCTCTCTTGAGCTCTGACGGGGGCAGCCATGGGAGGCCGCTGAGGGGGTCACCTTGAAGGGAGGCCAGGACTGCAACAGGGGACGTGAGGGGTAGGGGGTGGGGCACGAGCAAGCCCAGTGCAGGACAGACCCAGAGGTGGGAAAAGGGACCATCTGGGGGAGGCCAGGCACCTATTTTGGCCAGACTAGAGTTAGCTGGAGAGGTGTCAGGAGGGGAGAAAGGCACCGGAGCCCAATTGAGGAGGGCTGAGATGAGGCCCTGAGGACGTGGGGCAACACACAGCAGAGGATGAGCCAGGGAGAGGGGAGGGGGCGAGGGGAGACAGAGAGGAGGCGGCGCGACTCAGACAGCAACTGCCTGGTGGTGAGGTGATGTCCTTCCCAGACACCCTCAGCGCCCAGCTGAAGACACCAAAGCTCTGAGACCGAGAGTGACACACACAGCATATGGCTTTCAGAAGCAAAGCTGGAGCTGCAGCCTGGGTGAGTGCAACTCCAAGTCCGTGCTCAGCACCCTGTCTCACCAGGCTGTCCCCAGGAGCATGGAATGCATTAGGGGGAGGAAAGGAGGCATTCCCACTGGGACGACTGGGTGAATCTCTGACAGCCGTGCGCGGTGTGATGGGAAAAGAGACTGGGAGGTGACAGCAGGGCCACGATAGTCACCAGGAAGTGTCCCAGAGTGCGCTGAAGGTGGAGAGGCAACATGAAGAGGAAGATGTGCACCAAGGATCACAAGGGTGGCCTAGAGTGATGTCACTTACCGGAAGAGATTGGCAGAGATGTGACGAGAGAGGAGACGGAGGGGCGCCTGGTGGAATAGGACCCCACAGTGGGAAAGGAAGAGCTTGCATGCACAGTGACGGAGCTGGTCAGGAATACAGTGCTCAGCAGCCCAGTGGTACTAGGCTGTTGGGTGGTGAGGTTGGTGGCGGGAGAACTGGGGATGGCAGTCACCCCCAGGGAGGATGACATGTGAGCAGGGGTGGGAGCTTGGGTGGTGAGAGAGGTAGACTGTGAGGTGGTGGACTGAGAAGACAGAGTGGAGGAGACACGGGTGATAGCGGTAGTCTTGGATGTAGACACAGGAGATATGGTGCTGGAAGTGGGGACCTGGGGAGGATAGGGAGAGATATGCAGAGGGAGTGTGGTGGACGGAGCAGAGGTGGAAGAAGTAGGAATGAAGGGAGGTGAGAGCGAGATGGAAGACTGGGTCTCTGGGTGAGTTGGGGTGA